GTTTCCCCCTGTGTGCAGGTACAAAAACCAACTCCTTTCTTGACCCCCGGCCCATTTTTGTTCCCCCGGCCCAAACACACCCTAACCCCCACCACCAACCTTTCTCCCCCCAAAAAAAAAAAAAAAAAAAAAAAAAAAAAAAAAAAAAAAGCCACATCAGCCCGGATTCAGGATGGCTCTAGCTAGGTATAGACATCCCCCCTATCCTTGGCAAGTGCCCAACTTCCAGACAAATCAGTTTTATCTGACTGGAAAACTACAGCCGTGTCCAGCACCATGTCACCTTCTACATGTGCACAAGTCTCGGCGGTAATGATACAGATATCTTCAACAATATCCTTGGTCGAGTCTATCGTATACCCCAGGACTTTCAAGAACATGCCCCTACGCGGTTCAAATACACAGTGGTTCCGAATATCGATGGAGGTGCAGGAGGGAGTCAGATACCGGGACTACCTAAATCTGTTGTACTATGCACTTAGAGATATAAACCCCGGTCGCTTTCGTCTGCCATATGACAGAAATTCCCTGCACATCACTCGGTATCAGATGCCGGCCCCCGAGCAAATTGAGGAAATAAACAATGTAACAGATAATAAAACGAAGGAAACACAAAGGGTTACAACGGGTAACTGAATAAGAGCTCTTCAAAAAAATTGAAGAGCAAAGAGAAAAAGCGATGAAGAAACAGGAAAGAATGACCGAAGAAGCAGAACACCAATTTCAGATCCAACCATGCGACTTTCATTCTTGCTAGGCAGGGTTTGTCCCTAAATATTGTAATAGGTCAACTGGAGCCTTATTTCGATGCGGGGCTTTATCTTCAGATCCTGTGGCAGCTCCACTTCCCGGTACCTATGCCTCTCCCGAATCTGAGGATGTTCTGTTTCCCAGAACAATTCAAGCACCTCCATGATATCTAATTCATTTCCCTCAGCGTCTTGGCGTTGGTAAATTATGTATCGGTGAATCCTGCCGACCTCGGTGCCGCTCTCTAGTAGAGCTATAACTGCCTCCCAGCTTTTGTCAGATATACAATCATGAAGGATGGTGGAGTGTCTGACATCTCTGTGAGCTTGGTCAGTTAATAATTGAGGCTGCCTAGCGAGGAGTTGAGCCAGGCAACTTATTTTATCGGCTGGAGAAACTGGACAATTTGCCAGATCATAAGCAACGGCGCGAAACACCCTTTCGACGCTATCATAAACTATCGGACAGAACTCATGCTTATTCTTTAGAACTAGATTTTCTAGTTTGAATCCATGGTCGTTTGATAATTGCAGGAGGGGGTAGAAGTCATGTCTATAACGCATCGTATCATAGCCCATGGCATCCAGCTTACACCCTGCACGAAGAAGTGGCGGTATGAAACCAATTTCAGGATTAAACTCTTCTGCGTACTCGATTAAAGAATCGACACTGAGACTTTCATAGTTTAGAGCGTAACCTATGGCACAAGAGAAATTCTGGTACAAGTCTGGTTCCTCTGGATGGTCTGGATGTAAGAGTAGGTTTGTGTCAACCTTATACTCGAAAAGCATATTCATAGCCTCATGTCTGCCATGCCGAAAAGCGGTACCTAGCAAGCGACGTCCACTAGTGCCAACAGAGTTCGGGTCGACTCCTGCATCTAGAAACGCTCGCAGGGATTCCATGCGATTCTCAATAATGGCCACTTCGACATGTGATTCGGGCGACTTTGGGTGAGTGTAATGCCAACGAGAAAGAGGGGACCAATAATGAATGTCTGGTATCTCGGGGCATCTTGGGGCGCGTCCTGTGGGAAGTGAAGCATACTTCTTTGCTGCGTCCCGTCTTTTATCTTCCAAGACATGGTACAGGCCCTTGCAGGTCCGCGAAAATCTGCTGATACTGACAGGGTCCATGAATCGCGCACATCCCAGGGCGAGCTCCACGGGAGATTGTGGACTCCGGGGGAAGCCATTGTACTTGGCTATGCGCTGTAGCTTCTGATCTGCTCTTCCGGATTGATGAGGAGCAATGAATCTACATGATGCCTGGATTCGTGCCTCGTTATATGCGGGCTGTTCGTCTACCGTGATCCTGCCAACGCTACTTGTATACAGGCACTTTCATGTAAAGGCACGGATGCATAGGGAGGGTCGGGATTTTCCACGATCGTAAAGGAAGTCGTCATGCCCTATTCCGTACCTAAGGTCGCAGAGAATCAATGGCAGGCCGCTCTTGGCGATACAATTTTAAATTGAACTATTGCATTGGGATCACCACTACGATTGACTGGATTAACGAAAGGATTTTCTGCACAGATGGGAAAGTTCTTTGTAGTGAGCCGTTTTGGGGTGAGCGGTTGTCTCTGCCACGTGATCTTGCTGGTCATTGTCCCAAACTGTTCCACCCTCTTACAACCTCGTTCAGTTCACCATGCCATCGCTTCCATCACTTCCATCACTCCTACGAAGAAAGCATCCACAAGACCAAGGTTAAGAGATAGTGAATAGAGAGACCCACAGAACGAGGAAAAGAAAACTCTTTTTGCTACAATTACACTATGCCAAATAAAAAAAGTCTATTTACAAGTCTCAGACGCGACACGAAAGTCCCAGAAACGCCGATTTAGTTTTGGCCTGCCTTCTGCGCCAACAGATTCAATGCACTTCCTGCCAGGACGAACGCACATTGGTCCGGGCTCAGCGTGTGGCGCACAGGGATCTGCGCCGTCTCGCCGGTGCTCTTCTTCTGCACGCGCAGCTGGATCTCGCCCTTGCCGCCGGCCTTCAGGACGTCGTATAAGCCGATGGTGTCAACAGAGTCGCACGCGTCGATGAGCTCGTAGTCAGACGGGTTGGCAAAGGTGAGGGGCACGACACCCTGCTTCTTGAGGTTGGTTTCGTGGATACGCGCGAAGCTCTTGGCCACGATGATGCGGCCGCCGAGGTAGCGGGGTTGCAGGGCAGCGTGCTCGCGGGCACTGCCCTCGCCGTAGTTCTCCTCAGCGACGACGAGCCATTCAAGACCCTGCGACTTCCACTGCTCGGCAAGCTCGGGGATGCCGTGCTGCTTGCCGGCGTCGTCGTAGGCGACGTTGGTCTCGCCGGTGGCTGCGTTCACGGCGCCGATAAGCGTGTTGGCCGAGATGTTGGGCAGGTGGCCCTTGTATTTGAGCCAGGGGCCGGCGGCGGAGATCGTGTCCGTGGTGCACTGCCCGCGCACCTTGTACAGGACCTTGAGACCCGAGAGCTCGCCCTCGGGGAACGGGGCGAAGGGCTCGAGCAGCGCCAAACGGTCCGATGTGGGCGAGACAATTACATCGCAGCTGGCATCGGGCACGGCGGCGGTTGGTTGGAAGGACGGGTTGCCGTCGGCGAACCCTTCACCGGGCAGAGATTGGCCGGACGGGGGCTGGAAGCGGAATTCCTCGCCGGAGGGCGTCTTCAGGCTGTCAGTCATAGGGTTGAAGGTGGTCTTGCCGGAGTACGCGAGCGCGGTGACGAGTTCCGGCGAGGCCAGGAAGTTCATGGTGCGGCGGTTGCCGTCGTTGCGGCCGGGGAAATTGCGGTTGTACGAGGTGAAGATAGCGTTGTCTTCGCCCTTGGACACGCCGTCCGTACGCTTCCACTGTCCGATGCAGGGACCGCAGGCGTTGGCCAGCACGGTGCCACCAGCCTCGGCGAAGGTCGAGAGCGTCTGGTCTCGGTCCAAAGTGGCGCGGATCTGTTCACTACCGGGGGTGATAAAGAAGTCGGCCGTGGGCTGGAGTCCAGCGGCGGAGGCCTGCTTGACGAGGTCCTCGGCACGGGTCATGTCCTCGTAGGAGCTGTTCGTGCAGCTGCCAATCAGACCGGCGCCGAACGTCTCAGGCCACTGTTTCTCGCGGACGGTGTCGGCAAAGGCGGACAGCGGCACGGACAGGTCCGGGGTGAAGGGCCCGTTGATGTGAGGCTCAAGAGTCGACAAGTCGATGGTGATCAGCTGATCATACTCGGCGCCAGTATCCGCGCGGAGCAGGTTCTGCGGGCCCGAGGCGGCGATGGCCGAGGCCGCCTGGGCCACGTCACCGCGGTGCGTCGCCTGCAGGTAAGGGACCATGCTGGGGGAGAAGGGGAACACGGACGTGGTCGCGCCCACTTCGGCGCCCATGTTGCAAATGGTCGCCATGCCCGTGCAGCTCAGCGTCTCCACACCGGGGCCGTGGTACTCGATCACGAAACCTGTGCCACCACGCACGGTCAACTTGCCGGCGAGGTGCAGGATAATGTCCTTGGGCGCGGCCCAGCCGTTCAGCTTGCCCTCCAGTCGCACTCCCAAGACGCGCGGCGCCTTCAGTTCCCAGGGCGCATCCACCAGCGCATCGACAGCATCCGCACCACCGACACCGATGGCAATAGCCCCCAAACCGCCCGCGTTGGGGGTGTGACTGTCGGTCCCCAGCATCATCAATCCGGGGGCGGCATAGTTCTCAAGCACACTCTGGTGGATAATACCGGCACCGGGCGGCCAGAACTCAATGCCGTACCGCTTGGCAGCACTCTCCAGGAAATCGAACACCTCGCTGTTGCCCTTGATCGACTCCGGCAGGTCGGTATCGGCACCGCGCTCTCCCACAATCATATGGTCGCAGTGGATACTAGCGGGGACGGCAGTCGAAGGCAGACCGCAGGACATGAACTGCAACAGGGCCATCTGGGCAGACGCATCCTGCATAGCAACGCGATCGGGCTTCAATTTCAAATTGGCCTTGCCGCGAATGTCGCGTCCATTCTCCGTGCCCGTCAACAGGGACTCCTCCGGGTTGGCAAGATGGGCGTACAAAATCTTCTCCGCGAGGGTGAGGGTGCGAGAGGCACCCAGGACTCGTCGTACTTCTTCCAGGTTGCGCACGATCTTGGGGTACGGGGGCATCCGGGAGGACGCGGCGGCGGAGGAGGCCTCCGTGGCCAGACCACGGCGGCCAAACAGTCGCTGTGGGGAGAGACATTTCGGGGCCAGCTTCAAGATTGCAGGGTTAGCCAGGGACCAGAGAAAGAATTGGAAGGAAAGAAGCCATGACCAGGCCAACATACCCTCTGAGAGGCGGTCGCCCGCTGCCAAACAAGTTGCCTCACCATGATTTCCCAGCAATGTTGAGTGCACAAACAGAGAGGAAAAGCGAGCAAGTTTGTTCTGCTGTCGATGACTCTTTTTTCTTGCTTTAGCTTCGCCCTGATTGGCCGCGCCAACCGCCGATACCGGGCCGAATCCGTCGGCACTTCTGTTACCGTACCGTACCGGGGATCCGGGACTTTGGCAGGGATATTACATTCGGTACTGTATTCCCAGTACACTACCATACTCATTCTTATCTCTAGGGATAGTTTCATATGTGCCTGCTATGTATGTACGTACATCGACCGGGAACGATATCTACAATCTATTCCTCCAGTCTTCTCCCATCGACATCCAAGTCAATCTTATAAGACTGAAACCGCCGACTCGACACCTTCCGCTCAAACAAGATATCCAACTCTTCAAATGTCCGGCCTTTCGTTTCAGGCATGCAGCAGAAACAATACACAGCGCAGAGGACGCTCATGCCGGCGAAGAGAAAGCCTATTTTGCCCCTCCAGTCCCCTTGGTCTTCATTCATGGCGTACGGAATCACCACGGCGAACACCACCGACCACACGAAACAGCTGACTGTGGCCAGCGCAATCGTCAAGCCGCGCAGACGCGCCGACGACACTTCCGCCAGCAGCACGTAGCAGAAAGGCCCCAGACTGACGTCGTACACCAGCGTACAGATGAGCATGACGCCACACTGCGCCCATGTCGTCTGTGTGTCTCGCGGGGCGAGATCAACCGCCCCGATGATGAACAGCAGGATCGCTAACGTCGAACAGCCGAAGATGTACATGGTACGACGGCCCACGTACGACAACAACGGCCAGGAGATACACGTTCCCAGGAAACCGATGGCAGTGAGTCCCAGGTTCATGGAAAAGGCGTCAGACGAATCGAGGCCCGCGAGTTCCATGAAGTGCACGGCGTAGTTGATGAAAAACACATTCCCGGTGAACGCCTGCATGCTGTATGCCATTACACAGATGAGGAGTCGCCGGCGATTAGGTCCCCGGAAACACTCGAGGTAGTGTGGCCGGTCTCCCTGGAAACTCTCCTCCAGTCGCAGCGTCTCTCGAATGTGCGCCAACTTGCGTGACACGTCCACCCCCCGCGTAGTCAGCCGCCGCAACGACGCCGCGGCCGCATCATCTCGGCCCTTGCGGCAGAGCCAGTACGGCGGGTCGGGACAGAACCCAACCAGGAATAGCATGATGCAGGGCAACGCCCACTGCGTCGCAATGGGGATCTTATACGCCAAGGTGCTGTGCATGGACTCGGTGCCCTTGAGAATCCCCGACGCAATCAGCGAGCCTATGGAGAAGGCCAAATTAGTCATGGTGGCCGCGAAGCCCCGAAGCACGAGCGGCGTCACTTCGCCGACGTATGCCGACGCACAGATCGGGTAAAAGGCGATGATGGCGCCGTTGACGAGTTGGCCGACAAACAGTTGGGCCGGGGTATGGCTGAAGAACTGAATGAAGATGAAAGCGATGGACAGCACCGAGCAGACTGCGATCATCCAGCGAGGGCCGAAGCGGTCGTAGGCGAACCCGGAGCAGAGGGCGCCCACAATTGCCCCTAACAGGTTGGCATACTGGAAGGCGGACAGCCACTGCGCGGCGATGATGTAGCTGCCTTTATATTGATATCCATAGGTCTCTTTGAAAGTGTCGAGACCGACCAGACCTTTGACGATGCCGCCATCGATACCTTTCAGGATAGTCGCCTACTCGGCGATGTCAGTCCCATGATCCACGTCCGGTTCCAGGACCATGCATACCAGATTCATAAACAGACCCCAAGCGACTGCAGGCCAGTGACGTCGAAGAGCCACCCAAAAGCCCTGGGCGTGCTCCTCTTTACTGAACTGGAACGACAATTCAGCCTCTTCGACCGAAGAGGCGGGAAGAGACTGGACCAGAGTGGTGCATTTTTCCGCCCGGCCGGCCATGACCTCAACGAATCCGATAATCGGGAAATATCGATCATTGTCTGGAGGACCTTTGCGACGAGAATTTCCAAGATTCCATAATTTATAGACAGCACCATGGCGGGGTCGTCGTTCCGTCCAGTCCAAGGCTTTGCATTAGTCACTCACGTGCGGGCCCTAAGCGAGCGCCGAAGGTCCTCATGCATGATTAGCTTTCTTCATGGCGCTGATAAGATGGTCGATCTTAGGATCTCTTTTATATCGACCTGAATCGTACCAATTCTGCTGCGTTGCACAGATACATGACAGTCGAGCTTGTGGCGTCAGCGTAGATATGTACATCTTATTTCAAGCCCGGTTATCGGATGTTCGAATGGATTTTAGAGTGGAGCAAGATAGGCAACTCCAGGTGGGTCTGCGATTTACAAAAAAGTATGACAGGGGGATTTAATATCATATCACCGATTCTAGCTGGAATTTGGGATTTCATAGATCCTGTGTACAGTGTACGTTTCTTCCCTGCATCATAAATTTAATGACAAAAGCGTTACATATAATATCTTGGCACTGCTATACTTCAACACCAACAACCAGTCTAAATGATAGGCCAGTTGTATCAAAATACGTTCATTCTTCATATTCCGTCGTCCCTCGCTGATATACTTGTCAATCTCATTATTCCCGCGATCATAACAACATAATACCCCGTAATATAACCTATCCTGCTAAAAAGCCCCCATCACCCAACATAACCAACCCTCTTTGATCACTCCCCCTTAATCCTCCCGCAAAGCACCACATCCTCACCCAGCGAATACCACTTCACATCAGTCAATCTAGACGCCGGAATCGCCACCCCTTGACCATCAACCCTCCTATCCGGCGAAACCACCACCCCGCCACGACCCAACCACGTCGGCGCAATCGTCACCACCACCGAGTCAATCAGGTGCTGCGTCTGCGGCTCCAGTAACGAGTTAATAATCGACCCGCCCCCCTCGATCATGACGCTCCGCAGACCCTGCACACGCAAACACTCCAACAGCGCCGTCCAGTCGATGCGATGAGTCGGTCGTCGTTTTTCTACCTCGTCGTCGTCCTCGCCGGGTCGCGTTTCCACCACGCTGACGTCTAGCGCGATGTACTTCCCCCCGTGACGTTCCAGTAGAGCTTGCTTCTCAGGCGAAGGAGGTGCATGCGTTCCTGTGATGATGAACGGTGCCAGGCCTTGCTTGGCGCGCGCGAGGGCCAGGATCTTCGATTCCGCCGTGATGTCCCAGCGGGCGCTGGGATCGATGACGATGGGTCGTGGCTGACCGGTGAGTCCCTCGCCGCCGTAGCCGCCGACTCCGGCGATGCGGCAGTTCAGGCCCGGGTTGTCGGCGATGGCGGTACCGACGCCGATGAGGATGGCGTCGTGGCGGGAGCGCAGGTAGTGGGTCATGGATTTGGATTGCGGGCCAGAGAGCGTGGTCCGGGTGCCTGGGGAGAGCGCGAGGGAGGAGTCCAGTGAGGTTGCGAAGGTGAGGGTGGTGAAGGGGAGGGGGCTGGTGGATTTGGGGTCTTCATGTTGAGGGGGGAGGTGGGGGGTTAGGAATGTGCGGTCGGTTTCGGGAAAGGTGAGGGCGTCTCGGGGGGTCATTTTGTGGGATATAAAAGAGATTCTGGGGTTGTATTGGGTTGGTGGCTGGCACGGTTGAGATGGATGGATGGATGGATCAGATAAGATTCACGTAGATTGCTGGTGTTGTTTCCGGAAGAACGGTTGGAGTTCCACTGGGGGAGATTCAGCAGGGTAGCCAATGGTATCTGCTGAGGTCGAGAGTGGATGTAGATTGTAAGCTAAGTTGATCCTCTTGAATGGCAAGTTTGTTCAGAGCTCAAGTCAGATAGAAGTAGGCGGTGGCTTTAGGTATGGTTCCAGATCCCACCAGATTGCAAATCCAGCACATCAACCAGATACGCAATAGCGAGGTTCCGATGTCACAAAACCCCGAATTCAAACACAGAATCAAGTCACAAACAAAGACAAATCATCAACCGATCCAAACCCCAAAATCAACACCACACTTGAACGTCCGTCCTACAAATTAGGGCACGACATCGGAATAACCCCGCTCGTTGTCGCCGCAGCCTAAGCCCCTTTTCAGCCTAGTCCCTTCATCCCCACGTTATTCCCAAACCGGCTAGTCTATCCTACACACCTCAGGCGCCCAGGCTGCCAAGCTCTTTCAACCTCAGGCAACAAACCCGCTCTGGGACTCTTCGCTTCTTCCATTCCTGCATTGTTGCTTTGTCCTCACTTCATCCGTTCTTTCGTCGCCCGTCGCAGTCTTGCATCTTTGGAAGATTTAGCTCACATCTCTCACGAACCGGAATCCTCCGTCTCCCTCTCTCTCAATCCCAGCGATCCACCCTCCCACCGACGAAAAGAAAGCATGCAGCTCATTTCGAGCTAAAGCAAGCTCAGATAGAAAAAGCATCGAAATCGCAATCGCATTCGCGCCGAAAAGTCAACCATTCGCCAACCTTTCCCCTCCGTAATCAGACATCCCGAGATAGAATTCACTTCAACCTTGCGCACCGCATACGCCTCCCTTCCTCCATCGCATTACCGTTTCCCTTGGGATTTGGACCGAGACCGAACCGACCGCAATCAGTAAACCACCAAGAACACAGACAGACAAAATCAACGAAGACCCAAACCATGGATCTCGCAAATACCCTCATCCGGAGCGTGACGCGCGCATTCTACGAAACGCGCCACATCCTAGTCGTCGATGCGCTGTTTATTCATTCTGTGTAGGTTGTTTCCTCTCTCTCTCTCCTTGTCTACAGATCTAACAAACATGATATACCGAATAGTCTCCACGCCGAAGACCTCGCCTTCCTCCTCGGCATGCAACAAAAAGATCTCCGAAAGCTATGCGCCAAGTTGCGCGAAGACCGATTGATCTCCGTGTACGCTTGCGTTACCTTCCCCAACCCAACCAAACGAACGCAACCAAAGCTAACGATTCCCCTTCTTCCGGGGTCGACGAAACAGAAGCACTCGTGCCGAAATCCGCGACGGATCCACGCGCCCGGTAAACCGCGAATACTACTACATCCCCTTACACCCGGTAATCGACGCCATAAAATTCAAAGTCTCCAAGCTCACAGCGACCATAAAAGCGCAATACACGCCCAGCGAAGAGCGCAAAGAATACGTATGCCTGCGCTGCGGGGCCGAATGGACGGAACTGGACGTGCTGAGCCTGTACTCGGAGGAAGGGTTCGAGTGTCAGAACTGCGGGGCGATTTTGGAGCGGACGGAGGATGTGAAAGGGACGGAGGGGATCGATCGGACGGGGCATGAAAAAAATAGTAAGTTGATGGCGCAGCTGGATGCCATGCTGAAGCTGCTGAAGCAGATCGATTCGGTGGAGATTCCACCGAACGATTTCGATACCGCGTGGGATCATAAGGTCGATGTGGTGAGGAACCAGGCGATTAATCCGACGCGTGCTGCTATCGTCGTGCCGTCGAAGACGGAGGCGGTGCGAGGCAATACCAAGACGGATGCGGGCGCGCTAGAGATCTCGTTGACGTCTTCGGAGGAGAAGAGCGCCGCGGAGCAGGCTGAGGAGGTGGCGAGGAAGGCGGCCGTCGAGAAACAGAATGCCCTGCCGGTGTGGCATACGCACTCGACGGTGTCGACGGGCCCTGCGGCGGGCGGGGGCGCGTCCATCAAATCCGAGGGCGGAGTGGACGTCAAGTCTGAGATCAAGGATGAAGACGACGAGCAGACGCCTGCCGTCGATGCGCTGGACGATAAGTTGGCCGCGTATTACGCTGAGATGGAGCGCGAGCGGGCCTTGCAGGCCCAGGAGGATGCAAGCAGCGCGGACGAGGACTCGGATGAATTCGACGAGTTCGAAGACGTGGGCGTGTCGGCCAGCGAGACGGCGTCTCCGGCGGTCGGCGGCGGGAGTCAAAGGAACGGAGGCCCGACGAGTGTTCCGTCGGCCACGGGGATCAAACGCGAGCTGGACGCGGATTCGGGGACGAGTGGTGTGCCGACAGCGTCTGCTACGCCGTCGACTATGGCGTTCGAGGACGGCCCGGCGGCGAAAAAGGTCAAGGTGGAACCGGAAGTCAAGAAAGAGGAGTCGGATGAGGATGACGAGGAGGAATTCGAGGATGTTTGACGGCAACCAGCCAAGTAGTGCAAGCCTCTGGCCGGAATCTCTCGAAGCTGCAATTGGGCGCTGGCGCCAAGGACCGATTCTCATATATGGAACAAAAAAGGAAGACATTGACTTCTCGTAAACCCACCTCAGGTCTTCGTCTGTAATTTATGCTAAGCGGCTTTTGAGGAATTGGACAAAGTTCTCCTCTCTTACAAGGCCGGCTTCAATTCCCGAGACCGGGTCGCGTATAGGTCGTTTATACCATCGAGTGTTCCATGTCAATGCTGAACTAGCCAACATATCAAGACGTTGAAGGGCTCCTTCAGCCTGTGAACCCTGGCATTGCAATCATCTTGTATTATAGCTATGAAAATAACGCTACAGAGAAGAAAAAACAATCAAACAATCAATCTATTGAGTAAAAGTCCTGCCCAGTTACAGCGGGTAGCCTTCTATTGGTATTGTATCCCATCAGAAGTTTTGTCAGCCGTTCGCAACGCGATGCAAGAACGTGAGCAAGGCAATATGAGCAAGCCCAGCAACAGAACTGATAACGCCGACCGATGCAGGGACATTGGGCACAGCCAACGAATAACAGAAAAAGGGAGTATTGATCATCAAGTCGTTTCTCATGTGATGCAATCACGGCGTCTTTACTTTTCATTTCGTAGATTCACGGGCGGGGTTTTCTTATCTAGGGAGAGCCTGCCATTCCCATTTCCGAATCGCTCACGACAGAATTGTCTTCCCATTCCTCTGCAGAACGTATATCAGACTCTGGGTGGCCCAGGGGGGTTTAATTAGACGGTGATGAGATACATAGAAAAAAAAAAAGAAAACTTACCCGATCCTAGCTCCTCAGGAACATCAACTGCTAAATCCTCGACGGCCGTCAACACATCTAGCAGCCCATGTTAGCTGACAAGAACCCATGCATCAAAGGTGGGAACATACTGCGAGCCTGAAAAACAACTTGCTGATCCTCTTCACTATCGTCGAAATAGGTGCCTAAGCAGTGATCCAGGACCGCTTTCATCGTCTCCAGGAGCTTTGCTTCGAGGCCCGTATCATGAGAACCCATGTAGAGCTTTCTTAACCTGTCGACACTGGACGAGACCAGATCTCTAGCAACCTGGGCATGGCGTGACTGCCAGTCATCCTCGCCTACATTTTCCCTCGTGAACAAGATGCCACGCAGAATTTCCATTGTCATGTTTCTCACGGTTCTGTCCGGGAACACGAGCAACGTCGGTGCCCAGTCGGGTATTCTATTGATCAGATGAGAGAGAAACCATCGCTCGTCAAGACCGAGTCGGTCGTTGCGGCAGGCCATGACGCTCTTGAAAAACCCGAGGTGCTCTTTGCCGCCGCGATCATTGATGGAGTCGAGCCCCTTCGCAACATAGTCGATCATGGCGGCAATTCGGTCTTCATCAGGACCGCGCCGACAGAAAGTCAGGGTCGCTTCCAAGTACGGCGTGCAAAGGTCGGCCGGGGCGACACGAAGGCCATCCTCGAGGACCTTACAGATGGGATCGAGCAGACCGGCCTGGGGCTCCGCATCCAACAGTAGGCCGACAATGTTTCGACATGCTAGTGGGCTGCTGTGTGAGTGAAGGATCCTTTTCAGGATAGACAGCTCGTCATTTCTCCCAACAGAACGGAGAAGATTATTTTCTGAAACGGTGAGATTGTAGGTGCCTTCAGGCGAGACTCGTCGCTCATCATCTGGGGAGAGAGGAATAAGGAAATCGATGTGCGCCAGCAACGCGGCCAGAAGATCCATCATCTTTCTGTGGGAGAATCTCCGGCCCTTCTCCATGAGCTTGAAGTAGCCAAGGTACTGGCGCTTGAGTCGCTTCGTGTCTTCTGGGTCAATCCACAATATTTCTAAACACTTCAGCAGGAACCCGTAGTTGAGGACCATTCCCGCTTCCTCGGTTCCCAAACTTGCAAGGAGCAACAAAAACTCAAAGTAATCGTCCCAAGCTCGAAACATCGTATGGAGTGTCGGCCAAGTGCCTTCGAGCGTAGCCACCACGTTTTCGACACTATCCAAATATCGCACGCGCCACTTCTGATTCTCGAGGGTCTCGGGTTCCCCGTCATTATTGCTGCGAAACTGCTTCTGCATTTTGGAGAGGGCACAGATGAAGATTCTGACTGAGCTGTTGCGAACAGAAGCGTGGGGGCTTCGCAACAGGTTGCGAATGCCGGACGGTCGATGTATCACCCACTGGAGGATCCTGTAAGCCGTTCTAGGAATCTCCTCAATGGATCGGCCGATCTGATTCATTATCAGATCCAATCCCACTGGCTCTTTCGCTCTCGACAGAAGTTGCTCCAGTGTATCCATCACGATGAAAATAACTTTCCGGTCTATATTGGAAAAGTCCCCCTCCTTAAACTGGACCTTCGGCAGCTCCAAAAGCAAATATCGGACAAATGTGGCGTAAGGCGGGTCCATCAGGCAATATGTCCGGATAAAGATCTCATTTTCCATCGTGATGTGATTCGCAAGCGACACAGGAAGCTGCACGCGCACGGGACACTGCTCTGTTATGGGCTGGTATTCCGAACTGGAAGACTCAGCACCCGACACGCGTTGATAAAAGAGCATGTAAGCGTTCCAAGCCTTGTAGTAGCGCACTTGACCCATGGCAGTGGAGTTGGCATTGTCGTTGTAGCCTCCAAAACATTGATCTGGGATCCGGCTAGGATCAAATCGACTTACTTCCGAGTCGTTGAACTCCACCCAAGATCCACCAGTGCCAGCGGCCGCAGGTCTTTCACGAATATAAGAATAATAATGGCCAGATTCAGCTGTACCGCTATGAACCAAAACACCGACTAGCTCGAAGATATCCTCCTTCACTTCAGGGTCCTGCTCGGAGAGGTATTCAACTTTGAAGGGGCTCATGTCCACCCGCTCAGGAAAATGAAACTCGTCGTTTATTTTACTGCGGAGCATTGAAACCATATCGAAATCGAACCGCTTAAGGTGGAAGATAAGGTTGTCGGGCACTTCTTTCAAGCAAGCCCTCTTGACGGCATCAACGTGTCGCCCGCAGGAAGTGCAGGAATACTTGTTGTCCCCCTGCATGATCTCTCCTTCCACATAAGCTTGGAGACTTTCCTCGAGGCTAGCCTTGCCCTTGATATCGCATTGAATGGCAGAGAACGGTTCTAGGCGTTCCGAGATATGGGGACACTCCTTGGATTTGATTTGTTGGACAAGCTGGCCACCGTAAAATGACCGGAATTTCTTCTTGTCCTGCGGGTCTGATATCTGGGCCTCCCATCGATCGAACAACAAGTTATAAAATTCATCGACGTCCATTTGTACCGTAACATCGACCGGTTCGTTGTCGTACGTGCAGATAGAGTCAACCAGACCTTGCGGGTCGACACTCTTAAGCCACGTTTCTTGCATATAACCAAAGACCTTCTTCGTCTCATCCAGCAGTCTCTGTGATGATTCTGGGTTTTCTAGGCGAATCTGCATGATGAAGTCACGGAAGCCCACATTCATAAATAGTTGGCTCAGGAGAGAGTTCATATAGCAGGTGTTGGACAGATTCTTGAGCCCAGCATATCCCTCCGGTGACCGGATCATCTTGTGGCGGTCGTACGCCCAATTGGCAGAGAACGTATAGCCCTGGGGAATGATATCATCCATGCGGTCGAGAATTGTGATGTAGTTTTCTTCGTGCCCACAGAGCAAGACAATGACAGTGTAGAGCTCCTGGCGAGTATGCGGGTGCAGGACAGGCGTGCGAGGAACGATTGCCTGGTTTGACGATGGGGACGACGAAAGATCAGGGAATAGATATTTGTCGAACAAATCCTCCGCCAAGTTGAGCGTGTCCACTCGGATGCCGTGTACACTGGCCGCCTCAAGGCACAACCGAATTAGACGGATGAAGCCATGGATCACATCATCTATCAATTCACGGCCAACAAGCTCCTTCACCGGATGTCTGAACATTATTTCACTCCATTGCTTGAGATATTCGCCAAGGATGAGGTCACCCGGGGACTTTTCAACAACTGGACAAAATACCTCGGTGGCCACTTCGAAGAATTCTGGGGAATGGTGCACGTATTCTAAAGTACGTGGAAAATTTTGCAGAAAGGCGTCCCAGATGGTTGCTAGAATATCGACTCTGACAGGGCTTTCGAGGGGAGAATCATCGCGCGCTACCGGGGCGTCGGTATCCAAAGATTTAATCTGTTTTTTCGAAGGTCTGGAGTAGACGATGGCAGCGTTGATGGTCTCTCTGATGCTTTTCCGAATTGGTGGGTGGGTCTCTTCGAGGAGAAGCAAAAACAGCAGCTCAGAGAACTGCACCTGTTGTTTAACCACGCCCCAAAATTCATGATCGCGTGTAGAGGCTTCGAGCAAACTAGTGAATGAGCAGCATATCAATTTCTGTCTAGTTTCTCTTGAGAATTGGGGCTCGTTCATGTTGCGCCCAAGGTTTATCAAATGACGCAATTGTTTAACTAGCGGCACTGCATTTGGGATGGGCGATGCTTCATCCGCCACCGGGAGTTCCACTGGGAATAAAGCATAGACTGTTAGATTGTTCCTGGCGCAGATAGAAGGGAAAGGCTTTACCTAGCAGCGCCTGGACAAGGCATCCAATGAGGCTTGAGACAAACAGAAGTTTCGGATGATCCTCCAGAGACTCGAACATCTCTGCGCGTGTCAAGGCGGCGACCAAGACATGGATACTATGGGAGACGAATGCCTGATTTGGCGATGACTGTTTTTGAACCGTGTCAGTGAAAAGCGGGTCATAGGAATGAATCGGGGTCCAGCCAACCTCAACATTCTCCTCTCTCAGACAAAGCATGAGGGCATGCATTGAGTAGAGAAAGTTAAATGGTTTGTCCATAGGAAACATTTCGTCTTCGGTGTTGGAGGTGGATTTGACCAACTGGAGAACCCTCTCCTGTGGGGGGAACACCAAGAGAAAGTCATATATTTCCCGAGCCAAGTTGTCGGGCAGACT